ACGTCTTTACTCTACAGTGAGTCAGTACCGCACAGTATGAATGCTTTTTTGAGATAAATTGTGGACTACATAAATAGTTAAAGAATTAGCTTGAGTCACCAAATGATTACAAGATTTTCAATATGAGTGGATTGGTTATTTCTCTTACCAACTTTCACTCATGCTTAGATACTTTGAGATGTGATATTTTGACTAGTTCTTTTTCTGCTTCCTATGAATAGTTGTGTAGTAAGTAGCTCGCCTTTGTACAACCAAAAGTTCTATCTCAGAAAGTACCGGAATGGCCCCTTCTGAGGCGGCTGCGTGAAATGGAGCGCGAGTTGCTTGCTGCTGGGAATCCTATCGCAATCGAACGACAGAAAATTCGCGAGTACAATCGTAAGCTGCGTACGGAAGCACAGGGACGAGCAGCTGAAGGACGGCTTTGTCAATTGCAACAGCTATACTTGGAGTATTTTGCAGCGCAACAGCTGTTCTTGGCACAGGTACTTTCTGCCTCAAGGGCTCCATTTACAATTGAAGGCATCATGTTGGGCACAATGGAGCAGCAACAACAGCTCGATCAGCGCTGGTATTCTCTTCTACGTGAGGAGCAACAGTTTACTCGGCACCGTACCAGAGATGCCGTGCTGGCGAATATGCTTGTTGTGCGACAGCAGTCGTCTCATGATCATAACAACTTCAGTGTTATTGGTAATACATTGTCGAATTCGAACGGATTTCAGGATAGCGGGTTGAGCACTGCTGACGACATTAGGAGTGATAGGATCAACACATCCAAAGTACTTGAACATCTTGGTACTCCAGTGTCCTCTCGAGCCGAAGAGGAAGTGATTGAGGTCGCCATTGTTAAACCTGTAGAGGAAGTGGTACCAAGAAATGGAAGAGTTGATGAAAAGGTGGCCGATTGTTCTGTCGAACAAAGGGGCACTGTAGACCCGAATTTGGATTTGGAGCATGAGTCGGCGGGTTCGGGTGCTAGCGAAAAAACTACCTCGTCAAGTTCTTCCCATGCTCTTACTTCGCCACCTTCGGAGAATCAAGTTGAAGTCTCACCCAAACTTATTTCATCAAACTCACCTGAACTTTGAGCATAGTAAAATTCTGTCTCACTTGTTATACTGCTCCCCTTTCTTATGTCTCTCCTGTTGAAAGTAAAAATCGGATCTCGCTTATTTTGCATCAAATGATCTTGATATAACTTGATTATTCCAGATCAAATTAATTCAGTTGTCGGCTGTTTACAGATTTTATCCTCATTCATCTTTTCTAGGCCTTATGAAATCCCGACTTTAGTTGGAAAACTATGCTGGTAAAAATTACAATCTGTACTAATTTTTATTTGTTACTTAGCAGATTGATGTCATGTTCTCTCTTATCTGGTGATTTTCATTGATCGTCATTTGTTATTTGTAGAAGTGGTGAAAACGTCTTAGCATATTCATGTTTGTACGTACTATATTGAATGGCTGTGCTCGTAACGTGCTTGTTTAACGTTGTAAATTTATTTCTGTATCATTTACAGCAGCATCATAACCACTTTACGCACTAGAGTACTCAATTTTTGGACTGTAGCCATGTATGTTACCATACATTAGGTTCGTGTACTTCTTTTTCTGTTTTAGGGATTGTCGTTTAGCCTCGTGCTAAATGAAGTTCTTCTTTCCTTCTTACGCTCAATCTAGTCCTTAAAAATTTTATGCTACCTCCACATTTATCGGCAACTTTGGTATGCTGAACAGAAACAATTAGTGTGAAAATACTTTAAAAATAGTGAATTTCGGCTCTTGCATTGACAGGGATGAGTTGCAGCTGCTGATCATTCCGCCAGCAAGGCTCTCCTAGCTAGAAAGGCAGGCGGTCTTTTTGGAAACCTGGCAAATGTACCGGTTCAGCTCCTTCGTAGGAGCAGAAAATCATGAAAGTCGCCCACCGGAGTAAATTTCAGCAGG